ACATACAAAACAATACATACACACAAGAAACTATCATCAAGATAACAAAGACTCATCATGCTTGCTTATTATGTATTGTTATGGGGGGCTACTACATTTTTGGTGGATTGCCTAAGAATGAAGATTGAGCATAAAGATTGTAAGGGAAGAGTATAAATATTGCATAAGCTGCACTACCTTCACTAAATCACAGTTGGATAGTAAGATATAGAAATAATTAAAATCTAAAAAAAGACAAAAGTGATATTAAGATCCTAAATCTTTGAGAACATTACTATAAATAAAAGAAAGTATAGAAGTGCATTAGGACGTACCTTATTTGTCATGGGATGATATTGAGTGGCTAAGATGAAAAACTCTTCAAACTAAGTCAAGAAAGAAATTATTTTAGAATCTTAAGTCTCTTGAGATATTTTAAATCAATCAAGCACTCATATTGCTTTTGGAGGGGGGAGAGAGAGAGAGAGAGGGAGAGGGAGAGAGAGAGCTTTATGATAAGCAAAGTACACCCTTCTACAAAAGGTAGTGACTTAAACCCTCTATGTGCCACATGTCCATAGGACAGTGATGTGGAACTTGAGGTTCAGAGCCTTGGGCCACTAAATGAAAGAATGATGCCAAACTCCCAAGCATAGAGGTATAAGCTCCTGAGTTTGGACTTCCTGAGAGGTCACCCAGCCTAGTACTATTCAAACCCAAAGACACTTAACCCTAAATATCCCAAGACCCTTAATCGATTAGAAAAGAGGGTGCACTTTTATTCATAGGCCCTTTCCCTTTATATTTGAACCCCATGGACCATCTCTCGAGTCATTCTTTTTGGTTGCTTACAATCTACCACACTTCCCTGCAAGTTCATGCCCTTGTGAACGGAAGTTGAGAGCTGTAGCTCTCTTGAAAGCCCCGCTCTCTTAACATCCTACCCCTCAGGTCGAGCCCAGCAGGAGCAAACTAGACCAGCCAGATGTCAATCAATATGTGGTGTGATTCCCCTAGCCAGCCAATAGATGAAAAACTGTCCTAGAGCAACTAACATCCCAATGCTACAACTAATACGCAAAATGAAGCCAAATGGAGTCTAGCACTATTTTAATATACCAGTGGCCTAATGCGAGGACATGGGTACTCCACCAACTAACATGGTGTGAAGTTTGGGCTTAAACCCAAGCCAGACGCAGAACAAAGACAGGCACACAAGCAGGAGTTAAACTATACCTCAGGTTTGTTGGCCATACCCGACCTACCCACTATCCCTACTATACATTTGGAACCACCCACAGCGCCCCGCCCCCCCCTGGCTAAGTATGCTTAGTTAATAACACGTAGGAATTTCGTCCTTATGCTCGTCCGGTCTAAGTACATTCGATAACTCCACTAGCACAAGAAAAATTGATAAAAAGTCTAGCAATACTGACCTCCTACTGTTGTAGTAGTAAGGAAAGAGTGTCTGCAAGGATTAGCCGACAGGTAACTTTCAATACTTGAAGTCACATTCGCAATAGTTATTATTAGAACCCATAATAGCTAAATTGATTTTTTTTTTTTTAAATTATAGGGGTAGATTTAGGGGAGTAGAGTACAATGTATAACTAAAAAATGATTCATGGATATTGGTAATACAACAATAATTATATGGGTACACAATCTCAAGTATCACGAGTCATGTGAAATCAATTGGTATAAAATGAGGTTAGTAGCTTTAGGCTACACACAATGAGCTAAGATCAATTACAATAAAAAAATTTCACCTGTAGTTAAAATGATTTCTACATGATTAATTCTTGACATAGCTAACCATCTAGATCTTGAGGTTGAATAAATAGATGTTAAAAACACATTTTTAAATGGTAAATTGGAATACCTAGTATACATGCATCAACCTTCTGAGTTTGAAGTATGTGGAAAAGAACACTTTATTTATTTGTAAGCTTTAGTGGTCTAATTATACAATCCCCAAAAATATTACAACACCTTAAACAAGTTTTTTTTAATACTTGGTCTATGCAAAAGTAGATTGGAATCTCTACTATTGTATTTGAGAGTCAATAATGTATGTGTCTACATCAATTATCTCATCAAGGCTAAAAATACATTGAATTTATGATGGCTAAAGAAGCAACTTCAAGATGATAGATCTAGGTAAAATTTTATTTTATCTTGGCTTATGAGTTTCTTATAATAGGGAACACTACATCTTGAGAATTCATCAACAAAAGTATATATGCAATCTCATATAGAATATGACAAAAAAAATTTACTACACACATTGCCCCAACTCTAGCAGTAAAGTTCCACAAACTTTTCAAAGATGATAATCCACATTCTGGGAGGTAGAAAAAGGAGATGATGTAATTACTATATCAGAACATGGTTAGTGCTTTGTTGTACCTTGCAATAGTGAGTCAAAGCAGCAGTTGTTTCTTGTGTATGCAACTTCATGTAGAACCTAGGGAAGAGACATTAGTATTTGTGTTCATTGATGTTTGCATTTCAAATCTAATATTTCTTAGTAGTCAATGAATCTATAGTGCCTCCTTTACTGCTTTACTTACATTGTATTACATCATTGATAATGTCACTATTCATTATTTCTAACTCCGCATAACAACATTAGAGTTTAAACATATACTTAGTTGTTAATCTGCAGTCATCAAGGTCTCCAGCAAGATTAGTGTCAACCTATGGAACTAGTGTTCCTACTCCGATTTCTCACTTTATTTGGGAACATGTGGAGCGAGAGGAGATCAAACTCAAGTACCACTCAACAATTTAAATAATTGCATACGTTATCTTCCTAGAGAGAGCTGAGATCTAAAGACGTTTTACAAACTGAAAAGATTGTCAGATAGAGTGGGACTGTTAGAGTAGCAGGAATCAATGTGACAAGAAGATAGGGATCTTAGAGAGATTTAAGGAGATGAACACATATATAAACCTGTACTTCTAAAGCATTCATATTGTAGTATTTTTCCCTTCATCCTGTCCATCAGAGTGACTTTCAGAGATCCACACTTCATGTAAAAGTCGAATATCGTGCTTGCAAGAAACCTGTTAGACTTGAGTCCCCTCATGGAAAGCTCTGAATGGAAAGCCATTCCTCTCTAAGAGACACCACTGTCACCATTTTTCCAGCCAACTCCCTGCCGTCTTCTCCCGCTGCCAAGCCTGCACAGGCACCAAGAACAACCACAAAAGTTCTCGTGTTGGAAGCCTTGATCCAGTATGATGGAGAAAAGTTCCAGTGCCAAACCCTTTTCTCCACTCCAAGCATAAGCCTTGATGATCACATTCCAGGACACCACGGTTCACTGCTTCATGCAGTCGAAAACTCACCGAGCTTGCTCTCACATCTGGCGTACATGTCGATGGACGTGTGAGCCAGGAAAACATTCCCATCTCGTCTGCATTTGGCGAGCACCTGTTCAAGTTCCTCCTTACTGCCGCAAGACTTTAGTGTTGCGAGGAGTGCTCGTTCGTGTCGCACTATCTTTCTCTTCAAGTTGTCGTGGGAGTTGAATGCCTGTTGATCATCTAAGCTACAATTTTCCCCGGACTGCACATTTATATTCCCGCATCTGTGACGCTCAATGATACATCTAGCAAAGAACAAGGAAACATGACTTAGAGAGCTTTGTCGAATTTAAAAGCCACGTACCTCTCAAGGAAATTCCATCGCCTGCCGCAGCTACCATGTAGTTCCTTCCATCGCTCCAGAATGCTACTGCTTATACGAACAGCAGGATTTTCCTTTAAATACCTCGAAGAAAAACCATTCTGGACGAGACTACACACCTTGCTGATGGAAATCTTACTGTTCCCCAAAGCAATTGTAGCGATTTTTCTGGATTTTCACGGCAGTTGCAAAGAAGAGCCAGGAGTCGCGAGCAGGCCAAATCGTGAAAGAACCCTATTAGAATAATGCCTACATTTTTCAAATCACTCGCGACCATCGCCCTTTTCTCTAAAGGTAAAGGTAAGCCGCGCTCGCAATCGATTCGTTTTACTTAATGTAGTGGTCTTTGCTTTACAAGTAACATTGGCAGGAATCGAACCCGAAACGTATGCTTAGGGAAACCGAGGTCCTAACTGACTGGTCTAAGTTGTTTTAGTGAGCTAGCGAACCAGAACTAAAAGTCCTTGTTGATTGGACCCTTCGGCATCGAACCCGGGTCTTCTACAACGGTTTACCTCTACACTTACCTGATAGCCATCATCTCAGCAACCGGGCTCCAATAATAAAATAACAATACCATCTACTTGAACCATATGGCATCCATGGCACTTTGTTAGATCGCGGATCCACATTCTCGCTGCTCGAGGCCAGCGTTTCGTCCTTGGCAGAAGCCCTTTCCCGATTTCAGAGGTAAGAGGAGGGGATCTAGATGGATTGGGGCGACGCTCCTCTTCCAAAATACTTGACGACCTCCGCGCGGTCGGATCCAAGGACGATAGTGGCGCTCTGGATGTGGGGAGTTCACTCAGTGGTGGATTAAAAGATGGAGAACCGGCCCAAGGAAGGAAAATTGACAGGAGAGTTTTGTTCTAGATTTTCTCACTCACTCGCTCACTCGCTGTTTCTATGAAAGATGCAGGGAGGAGAACAACTGGTAGCTCATTCCCGTCGCTATGGTCGTCTGTAAATGTACCCAGGCAAGGATCGTAGATTGGCAGATCCAGGACCGGACTGTCTATACCGAAGAACCGGCCAAGTTTTGGGAGGCCTGATCAAATCTCACAAGATCTCTCTCTCAGCATCCAGCGAGTTTGCATAGAGCAAGCACAGTTTTGCATTATCCTCCTATTGTTCTTACGCTTTTTTTTCCTGTAAAGAATGAAAACGAACAGAAAAATGGTCATGAGTTATATAAAATTCTCTCAACTATGCTTCGAAAATTTTCCACAGCGCCGCTGATTAGCCCACATCTGCCCAGATTTGTTTTTAATTGCCAGGATTTGTTCTTCGTCTCTAAACCTCAAGAACCCTAAAATCAGATGATTGCATGGATTCAATCCAGCTGGACGGCGACGGCCGCGAGCGCGATCTCCTCTCCAGTAAGAGCATCGGCTTGATCAACGCAGTCATTCATGGACGCGAAACGGGGCAGGCACGCCGCATTTTCGATTCCATGGATCGGCGCACCGCGGCGTCGTGGAACTGCGTCATCGGCGGCTACGCGCGGTGCGGCCATCGCGCTCCAGTTCTTTCCGCGGCTGCATGCCGAGGGGTTGGATCCAAACTTCCGGATCTTCGTCACGGCTCACCAGGCGTGTTCTTCACAGGCCGCTAGAGAAAAGGGGGTGAGAGATTTACAGGGGAGGACCATCAAGCTCAGGAGCCTCAAGAGAGGCTTGGCTCTTCATTCCCAGCTCCAGAGTGGTGGATTCTTGGTAGACAGGTTCGTGGCCGGCGCCCTGGTGGATTTCTATGGAAAGTGTGGCAGCGTGCTCTAGAGATTTTCCTGGCTGCCAAGTTGGGAACAAAGGACGTGGTTTTGTGGAGTGCCATGATCAGCGCTTGCTCGCAAGGAGGGGAAGACGAGCTAGCCTTGGAGCTCTTTGAGCTTATGCTTTTGGAAGATGGAGTGGAGGCGAATGCTCGGACTCTGGCGGCCGTGCTTGACGCTTGCACGAATCTGGGATGGCTGGACAGGGGCGGAGAGATTTACTCGAAGTTTGCAAGAACAGGGATGGGGATTTCGTCCAGCGTTTTTGTCTCCAACATGTATGCAAAGTGGGGCAGATTGCTGGATTGCTGGAGCGTTTTCGATGGGATGATAGAGCGGGATTTGGTCTCATGGAATGTTATGATCATGGGATATGCAAAAGGTGGCGAGGCCGAGCGAGCTCTCGAGTTATTCACGGCCATGCAAGCGTTAGACGTGGTCGTCAGCTCGAGGACTTTGGCGGCCTTTCTCCAGGTGTGCTTGGATATGGCCGAGAAGGAAGAGGCTCGGAAGACTCTTGAAAGTGGCGTCGCTGGAGAAGGTATTGGCTTTTCATTCCCGGTTTCTTGACAGGTTGGAAGACTCCAAGGAGTGAAACCGGACTCAGCAGGCTTTTGCATCGGCACTTAAGGCCTGTGGGGGTCTTGGAGCACTACAGGCTGGACAGACAATCCATCGTCTGATCGAAGAAGCTGGGGCCGAGAACTCTCCGGTGGTGGCAAACTCGCTCATAAGTTTCTACAGCAAGTGTGGTGACATCGTGGAATCTCCCCGAGTGTTCGATGGGTTGGACGTGTCTTGGAGTGCACTGATCGCAGGATACAGCCGTCAAGACGCGGTGTTTGGTCGACAAGGGGATGGAATACTTTCACGCTATGTGCTTGGACTATGGACTTAATCCGAGTGTGGAGCATGTAATCTCCATGGCTGATCTACTTGGACGTGCTAATCGGCTGTAGGATGCGCTTGCGGTGGTGGAAAGCCTGCCTGTGGAAGAGGTGTGCTCCAGGATATGGATGGCTTTGCTTGGGGCTTGTTCAATGTGGTGATTGGAAAGGTAGCCTTTGGTGCTCTATCAAAGGTTGACGATCAAGGTGATCAGGCTCAAACAATGAAAACTATGACAACCTTGAAGTGATTGGTACGCAATTAAATTTCTATGACTTTGGATTTATCTAACTCTTGTTGTTTTCTTTGCAGCTGGATCTTTGTGATGTCACTTCAAGACATGAAGTGTGAAAAGAGTTGGATCTTATGCTTAATTCCTGAAGCATGGGCTTGCTTCAAATAGCCAAGAGCCTCCTGTGAGACGAGCTCTCCAGGAAAGAGCACAGAAATACCGGGTGGATACGGGCACACGAGCTCAGCAGTCGCTAGACCCACTGCTTCATCAGCTTTATAGCAGTAAGTTTCTGCAAAGAATGCATCTCTTGGACTAACTAGTGCTTTCCATCCGTTTTTGTTACAATCAGACACTCAGGGTCTGGAATAAGAACCTATTGTCAATCTGGAAGAACTCGAAAGCTCTTGAAAGCCTTTGATAAGTTTCTCAATGTCGCTGCTGCTAGTGCCGGCTCCCATAGCAAAAGTTATGGAGTTCAGAAGAGGAAGCTCGGACACCACCTTGCATTTATCGCACAGAAAGCCATCAGCAAGGTTCCTGTGACTCCGAGCTCCCACAAACCAATGGTGATCCTAAGCTCATCAAAAATGGTATCAGCTTTGGCTGCCGAGCTCACATTTTCTCTATCAAGGACTCAAACTTGTGGATTTCTTTCAGGCGTCATCGAGCTGTGGAAGCCAGCTCCAGAGCTGTATCAAACGCTGGATGGTCATCGCTTGCTGCACAACTCATCTGGTCCCTTGCAGCATCAAGAGAGGCCAAGAGAAGGTAACTCGGACTGGAGCTTTGCAAGGTTCGAAGGCACTTGCTAATTGCTTTACAATCTTGCAGCCGCTCATAACAAGGAAGAGCATAGTGAGGCATTGCTCCAGCAAGAACCATGGCTGAGAATGTGGGCGTTCCTGGGGAGGATTGAAACGTCTCCGCGCTTGCAGCAGCTCATCACCGCCGCTTGAATTCCACACGTAGAGCCGTTTACCAAGAACCACGAATACCCGGCTCCGAAAAGCTCCGCAGTCATTTGCTGCGCTTTGGCTATGGCTTCTTGTGGCCAGGCCTGGCAGCTCCGGGAAGAGTTGAGCTCCGAGAAGCTTGGAAATCGAAGCCTGAGAAGTGAAACGCAGTGACACGCTTCTCTTGAGAGCTTCAAGCAATGAGGGGAGCAGTAACGGAGGATGATTGTTGAGCACCGTCGTCGGCATAGCCATCCACGCCATGAATCGCTCAAGCACGAATACTTGATACACGATGTTGTTTCAGGAATGCGAGACCCACAAATTTTCATCCAGCGACACAAAAGTCATGTGATAGAATAACTCAAGCTGAAACTTAGTCTTTTGTAATATCGATCAGAATCGAACCCGAAACGTATGCCTTGAGAAACCGAGGTCCTAACTGACTGGTCTAAGTTGTTTTAGTGAGCTAGCGAACCAGAACAAGGGCTACTTAAAGAGCAAGATTTTTCCCTAAAAGTCCTTGTTGATTGGACCCTTCGGCATCGAACCCGGGTCTTGTACAACGGTTTACCTCTACACTTACCTGATAGCCATCATCTCAGCAACCGGGCTCCGATAATAAAATAACAATACCATTGACTTGAACCATTAGTAAATTTTGAATTTGCATTCTCGCTGCTCGAGCGCCCTAGCAAGAAGCCCTTCCCGGATTTGGGAGTTAGGAGGACGGGATCTCGTGCTCGATTGCGGCTCAATCACTTTGCCTCTGTTCGAAGCCCCGGCCTCAACCTGGTGGGATATTATTCAAGCGAGTGTGGAAATGTTGAGTGGCTCGCAAGTTCACTCTGGTGGTTGATCGTGAGATCCACACAACCCATTTTTTCTCTTCCACAGAGCAAGGTCTGTTGAAACTTAATCACCCTTCTTTCTTGCTCTTTTGCTGGCCCAGAAAGAAGTAGTAATAACGCATGGATTGTGATCCACAGATGTTCCGAAACCTGGGCTGCTGTTAGCCGCAACTCAACCGTCTTCAAGATCGAATAGCTCCGAAACATTCGACTAGTGGACACAATTTACACATACTCCCGTTGCCCGGATCGTTTTTCAGTTTGACCATGATGGCCACATTTCATGGTACTATTTGGCCATTACGAATTAAAAGGATTGATATCGATTCTCGACCTATGATCTTGGTTTCTTTCCCTGGGTACTGATTGAAAGAAATGGCATAGCACTTGGGCGGTAAAACTAAACCATTTTGCAAAATAAATATTAGATACAATAAGGCATATACTTAACTAGTAGCGGGCCTGAGCTTACCCTGGCGTGCGTGGGGAAACTCAAATCTGAATAGAGGCAATAGACCATCGACACCGAATTCAGGAAGGCCACCGGCATCAGCCACCACCTCTGCTCTGACTAGAGCTCCCTCGATGAGAAACATGCGTCTGTCGGTACACTACGGACTCGGTCTGCAGACTCGTTTCCGAAAAAGCTTACTATCGCCAAGAATCAAAACATGAAAGTTAGAAAACACAGACAATCTGATTGAAAAACTACATGGCAGATGATGAAGTTCGTGAAGCGGCTCAATATCGTAATTGTCGAAGTGAATAGTCACTGGCAACCCTTCTAGCATTTTCTTGCAGCGGACAGATGTTTAGCTGACCAGCAAATAGGGCCTTTTCAGCTTGGCAGATTGTGTTCTTGAGGAAGGAGGCCTTGCCTCTTCGGGATCACGATGATACATCCTGCCAATCTGCAAAAATCAAGACCTGTATAGTAAATCTGAATAGCAAAAGAAAGGGCAATATTACGAGTGACATGTTCAGCTGCCTTCCCATCTCCATCCCAAACTCTCTGAAGGAATAACAGATTCTGGAGCTTGAAATAATGCCTCTGGGAGCATGGACTCATACCCTTTTGGATTAACTAAGAGTTTTATTAGATTAGTTTTTTGAACCACTATAAAAATAGGGTTTTGAGGATTTTGTACTCAAATTGTTGTATACGAACCATTTTTTCTTCTCTATTATTTTAGTATTTCATTAATAATTTTATCTTCTTTTGACGACAATGAATTATAATCCATTATCAATCTTTTGAAATTTTGTTATGGAAAATGATAAGCTTTCTTGTAATAGAAGTGTTGAAGCATGGAGCCAAAGGGATTTTACCAGCCTTTAGAAGATGCTAGATTATGTATTATTTGACCATTTATCTCTATCTAAAAGAGGAATTAAAAGCTTCAAATTCAAGAAGTGAGGAAAGAGTATGTAGGATTTCAAAAGAAATTAATTGAGTGCATAGAAGATATATTTGTAATTTCAGGGAAATGTGTGACTTTGTACAACTTTTATGTGTGCTTATTTAACAATCTAATGCTTTAAATAGAACTTTAAACAAGGTTTGTCCTCATTACAAAAGAATTAAAGTTTAATTATAGGATATCCTAGAATATACATGAATATTCTAGGAAGCAAATAAAAAATTCTTGGTCAAAAACTTTAAGTGTTCTTCTGCTAGATTTAAGAATTAGCATAAATACCTAAGTTTAACTAATTTTTAGTAGTGGTATTAATACTTTTAAAAATATATTTTAAAGTATAAATAGACTCTAAAATTGTTAGATATGAGCATTAATATTAATATTTTATTTAACCAAATGCATGCTATAGTAGACATAGAAGGCATAAAATCTTTTTGACAGATCAATTTTTCAATATGGTCTTAAATATTTGTTTCATCTTTGAAATATTAGCTTTAATTTTACCTATATTTAGTCAGCAACCACCACCACCACATAGATATCCCCCTCAGCCTGTAACCATTTTTGTTGCAAGATTAAATGCCATATCTTTATTGGAGTTCAATGAAGTTATAAATTCAATTGATACTTATATTTATTCTACTTATACTCATGATGGAATATTTGGAATTGGAAGTAATTCTATTGTAGTCACTTTAAATCGAAACTTAGTCAGAATCTCATTTCACATCGTTGCCCCACTTTTTATGGGTGGGATTTGTGTGGCTGATCCGTCTATACCAATTGGCTTCCCCTCGTATATTGTGCGACAAGCATTTATATCTATTAGAAATCAAATAGTTACAGATGCTACAGTTATTTCTTACAGAACAAGAGTAAGTTTTTATGCAGAGATACGCACAGAATTTATGAATTTTGCAATAGCCTATGAACTAATAAGACTACAAACTGATTTACAATACAGTAGTAGTTATCATCTGAAAATACCAGATAGTATTTATCATGAAGATCATGATATAAGTGATTGTTGGAGCTTTGGATTTTCTCTTATAAGCAACAATAATAAAGTTCCAGGATCATATCTTCCAGCTGGAAATAGTTTAAACTCCATAAATGGGTTATACAGGCTCACCATACAACCTAATGATTGCAAACTAGTATTAGTTAATAAAAGAGATGGTGTGATCTTGTGGAGTAGTAGTCATTCTTATGAGCCTGTTGTTGGATGTTTTGCACATCTTCAACATAATGGGAAGCTTGTCATAAAAAGCACTGCAAATAATATTTTTTGGGAGACTGATGTAGAATGTAGATTGAAAGATTGTTTTATAATTGCAAGTCTTGTGGTAAAAGGGGAAGGGACTGTATTCATTTATAACTTAGAAACTCAAATAGTGTTATGGAAAGCTATCTAGTAAAAGTTGTAGAATATTGTCAAGTATCTAGAGACTAAACTTAAATATTGCGACGTTTTAAGAAAGGATTACCATAATTCAAATAACCAACAGCCCAACCAATTGCTCAGATCTAAATGACTAAGATAAAGCATACAGATTTTCAGTTGGTGGCACTCAAATTTTATATTAATTTTTCAGAAAGAGTAGTTTCGTAATATGGTTTAGCGTGGCAAACAAAAGAAACATTTTGAAAAGATGCATGGGAATATACTCTCGCATTTGGAGATAGGGTTATGGCGGCCTCCTCTTTCGTTTGCTCGCCTTCCAGCGTCTTCGCTAGGCCTCCTCCCACTACCGCTAGCGCTGGAGGTCTGTGCTCGGCTTTCAGGGGCCTCAGCTTGGCCAGGCACCATTCTTTCACTCCAATCAAGCAGCAGCAGAGCATTTCTCGCGTCGCTACCACGGTCAGCAAGCTCAAGACTCACAAGGTCCGTGTCGAATCTCTCTCTTGTTTAGAGAAGCGCTTGAGAAACGCTGCTTTGATTGCTTCTCTAGGCCTCAGCAAAGCGTTTCAAGGTGACTGGAGGCGGCATTTTGATGCGCAGGAGGGCTGGCAAGCAGCATCTCTTGGTGAAGAAGAATTCCAAGCGTAGAAAGCGCCTCTCGAAACTGGTTCGCTACGAAAAACTTCGCTCTCTTCTCGATTGAGACGCTCATGCCATCTTCCTTCTCTCCAGGTTCCGGTGAAAAGGAGCGACTACACAGGCATCGTACGAGCCTGCCCCTACATGAAAGTAAAGAGGTGAGAGCTCCCAAAAATCGTTTTTTTCTCGAGCATCTGGAGACCATTCCTTCCTTTTTCCAGGAGAAACCTCTTGCGCTCGGCAAGGAGAGCTCTTACTCCGGCAGTAGCAGCACCATCGCCACCACCACCACCATCAAGCGATCAAGACACGCCGTCGGCTTAGCCTCCGTAAGCTATTCTCCTGAAAGATGTTTGCCAGGAGCACGTAACCAGCCGAGTCCTTTGGACTCAAATCCATCACACTCTTGGCCGCCAGTGTCCCATGGTTGAGTTGCTTGAAGCTGCTGCAAGCTCCAAGCAGCGATCTCCACTCCAGAACATCCGGCTCAAAAGGCATGCTGATGATCAGATCCCTCGCGTCTTGCACGTATCCCCCGCGGCTCAACAGGTCCACCATGCACGAGAAGTGCTGCTTCGCGGGCTTGAGACCATAATCCTGGCTCATCGACACAAAGCAGCACCTCCCAGCGTAAACTCTTCCAAAGTGAGCGCAAGCCAAGAGATGGACGATGAAGCACACCGGATCCGGCCTCTCCACCGTCACCATCTCGTCCACGACACGAAAGACTTGGTCGAATCTCCCGTTCAAAGCGCTCACCACCAGCATTGCGCTCCATGCTACCGAGTCACGACTGGGCATACCATCGAACATCCTCTTGGCGACGCCGATATGCCCGTTCTGCCCATAGCCGGCTAGCACCGCCGTCCACGACACGATGTCCCACTCGGGCATCTCCCTGAGCAAAACGCTAGATTCCAAAAGATGCCCGTTTTGGGCATATGCTGCCGCCATGGAACTCCAAGCCACTGTGTCCCTCTCGGGCATGGTGTCAAAGACACACTTTGCTTCCTCTACATGGCCTGCCCGAGCATACGCCGATAAGAGAGCCGACCATGAAACAATATCCTGCTCGGGCAGAGCATCAAAGCTTTCCTTTGCGTGTGCGAGATCCCCAGAAGCAGTATATGCAGCAAGCATGGCAGTCCCACTGATGGAGTCGTGCTCGGCCATGGCATCAAACACCAACTTTGCCTCGTCAAATCTAGACGCCGACGAGAAGAGCTTGAGCATCTCGGTGGCCTGGATCAAGCTCCAATGCGGCATCTCCTGGAGCAAAACTTTTGCCTCATCGACGTCTTGAGCATGGATCAAGCCTGCCAGCATCGTGTCGCTCGATTTGGAGTCTCTCTGTGGCATGTCCTCGAAGACCCTCTTGGCATCGTCGATCCGGCCGTGCCAAGCGTAGAGCCCGATCATCACGTTGGACGAGACGGCATCCCACTGGGGCAAGGATTTCACAAACATAAGCTCCGCTTCGTCCGCGAAGCCATTCGCAGCAAACGAGGAAAGCATTGCTGTGTTTGCCACCATGTCTCTCTCTGGAAGCCCATCAAAGAGAGCCTTGGCCTCGGCAACACGACCGCTGTGAGCATAGACTCCCAGCATTGCTGTTGACGATACCAGATTTCGAACTGGCATTTCAGCGAAGAGTTCTTGAGCTTCCTCCACGAAACCATGCTCGGCATAAGCACCCAGCATTACATTCCAAGAGACTGGGCATCGGAGTGGGATCTCATGAAACAGCTTTGCCGCTTCAACAAGATGCCCGTTTTGGGCATATGCAGAAAGGAGTGTGTTCCAGCAGACGAGATTGCGTTCCGGCATGTTATCAAACAAATATTTTGCTTGATCTGCATTACCATTTTGCGCTAGAGCTGCAAGCATTGTGCTCCAGGTGATCAAGTTTCTCTGAGGCATGATACTGAAGATTTTCTTCGCGATAGGTATATGCCCATTCTGGGCATATGCAGCCATCATCGCATTCCAGGCTATAAGATCTAGCTTGGGCATTTGATCAAAAATTCTTCTAGCTTCTTTAAGTCGCCCGTGTTCCGCGTACGCCACCAAGAGAGAAGTCCATGACACCAAATTCCTCGTTTCCATGGCATCAAACACTCGTTTAGCCTCGTCCAGATGCCCGGATTGGGCATATGCTGATACCATGACAGTCCACGAGAAAAGTAGCCTCTCCGGCATGGCATCAAAAATCCCCCGCGCGTTCTCGAGCTGCCGGTCCCGGGCATAGGCGGCCAACATGAGCTCCCAGGTGAAAGAGTTCCTGGCGTCCATGGCGTTGAAGATCTTGCGTGCCCGCTGCGGGCATCCACACCGCCCATACATCTCAATGAGCTTGTTGGAGAAGAACACGTCCCCGGGCGTGTGCAAGTGCTGGATTCGTATATGAATATCTTTCGCCCGGGTGAGGCTGTGGCAGGATTGCATGAGTCGAATGCCCTCCTCCCGCTCCATCGCTTCATGGTCTGCGTGAATCCAAGGCTTGCCTCACGAAAAACGATGGGAATCCTGGAAGAAATACAGCGCCAGTTTTGCAGCTCTTGCGGCTGGCGTTTGCGAAGCGTACAAGCATTCGCGTGGAGACAGCCCTAGTCAACGCGTTTGAATAGAGAGGATATTCGTAGAATCTAAAGGATAGCCTATATACAACAAAACAAAGAAAATTTAAGATTTGATTAAATATAATTATTAGGACATTAAAAAAATTAAAACTGTGAGGGCCAAGTGTACGGCTACGATGCCGTATACTAATATTAGCGTAGTGGATTTTGGTAGCCGTCGGATTGGTTTCAATCCGGACCACTCGCTCCTGTATATAAGCTAGGGTTTTTGGGTTAATTGATATGCACATTTCTGTATTCCCTTTCCATATTCCATGCACTCACATTGGTCGAGTTGAGGGGCACCTTTGATTGTCCCTGGGGAGTGCTTGGATTTGGGATTTCAGTTTAGATCTAGCTTTTGCATTGTCTAGATCTAGCTTTTTCCATTTCCTTTCTTTTGTTCTTTCCTTTCAGGATTTTGGTTTAGATTTAGCTTTTTGCATTGTCTAGATCTACCATTTCTTTCTAGCTTTTTGTCATTTCTCTTCTTTTGCTCTTTCTTTCTCATTTATTTTCATGGCCGATCCGCAATCTCCTCCTTTGACTCTAGAGCAGCAGTTGGTTCAATTGCTTGATGCTATGCGCCTGCAATTGAACAACCAAACTCAGTTGATGGCGGCGTTCACGGCACATGGTACAACTCCTCCTGCTTTTGGTGCCAATCCTCGCGTTCGGCCGGAGTTCTTTCGTGGGAATCCTGAGGATGATGTGTACCATTGGTTCGATCACTTCACGGTGATTGCCACATATCATTCTTGGGATGATGCTCGGCGTTTGCGTGAGTTCCCCACATGTCTTCAAGGGACGGCATTGCAGTGGTACAATGGATTGAGCGTAGCTACTCGTGGCGATTGGAGTGTTCTTCCGGACGTCTTCAAACGCGCCTTCGGACACGCCGACGATTGTGATGATGCCTTCCAACAATTGCATCGTCTTCGCCAAGGACCATCTGAGTCGGTGATGCAATTTGGCGTTCGTTTCCGAAGTCTTTTGCTTCGTGCGGAGCCAAATATGTCGGAGCGGATCAAGCTAGGAATGCTGTGGCCAGCACTTCGTCAAGATCTTGTCGGACTTGTGCATGCACTTGCTCCTGCCACTCTTGACGATGCTCTTCGCTTGGCACAACGTTATGAGACGTCGCCTCTTCCACTTCTTGCTACACGTCCTTCAGCTCCACTTCCTATGAGTGATGGTCCTGTTCCCATGGAGGTTGATGCTGCTGCTACTCGAGTCCAAGGACAAGGGCGAGGACGTGGTCGTGGCCGTGACATTCGTTGCTGGGCGTGTGATGAAGTTGGTCATACTTATCGGCGTTGTCGGCGCTTTCCGGATTGGCAACCTCCATTTCCTGGGTGGAGACCTTGGCGTCAGCAATGTCCTGTTGGTGCTGCTGTGGTGGAAGGTTTGGATACCGAGGTGCATTCGGGAAACGAGGAGTCGCGCGAGTAATGGAGGGACCTTGCGCGAATAAGTTAGTGACCCCTCCATCTTTCTTTCGGGAGTATCATCAAGGGGTTCACTCGGCACCGGTTCATCCAGTGTTTACTTTCCAAGCTCGTTTTTATAACAAGAGGTCTCCTATTCTTCTCTCCGTGTTGGTTAATACAGGTTCGAGTTTATCTTCTATTGCTCGACCTGTTGCCACACGTTGTCGTCTACACTTGCGTCGTGCGGCGGATCCAGTTTTCATTCTTTATGGCAACAACCGTACACATGCATGTGCACGAGATGAGGCGGACCTGGTTGTGCGTGTGGGCGATCTCGAGCTTGAGTTGCAGTCGTTGCGGGTGGTGCCGAGTCAAGCTTTTGACCTCATTCTTGGTATGGATTGGTTGCAGCACAATCATGCCAAGTGTGACTTTGAGGCTTTTCCCCCTTGTCTCATACTTCCTTATGTTTCATCCATTCCTCTCACTTCTGTACCTCTTCGTCCCTCTACTTCTACCTCTGCTTCCATTACTTTTGTTCCCCCATTATTTCCTCTTGTGTTTCCATCTTGTTCTGCTCTTCCCTTTTCCGATCCCTCCGATGATCTTTGTGTTGCAGCTGTTGATCAGCTCATGAAGGAGTATTCTGATCTCTTTGAATTTGACCTATCGTCTGGGGCCAAGATTGCCACACGTCATCCCATTCCCACCGGGGATGCTCGTTGTAAGGAACCGACTCCCCGAGATGTCGTAGGCTAAAGGATCCCCAAAAGCTTGACCGAAGTGACAAAGAGTTCATCGGATGGGACCAAGTCGAGGATAGAGTCCGGAATCGAGTCCGAGACCGACTCGGGGACCGAGTTCGAGTCCGAGTTCGAGACCGAGTTCGAGACGGAGTCCGAGATCCGAAATCGGGTCCAAGACCGAGTCCGAGGTCGAGTCCGAGGTCGGGTCCGAGATCGGGTCCGAGATCGAGTCCGTGATCGAGTCCGAACCCGAATCCGAAGTCGGATCCGAAATCGGGTCCGAGATCGAGCCAGAGACTAAGTCCAAATACTAATACGGGTCAAGGGGTGAAAGCCCAAAGCGTGCGTCTCCCAGGGGGGGGGGGCTGCAGGGGGTTCCAAAAGTATAGTAGGGATAGTGAGGTCCAGGAACCAGTTTTGAAGGGACTCTCCAGTTGGGCTTCCAAACCGACTTGAGGTTGGGACTGGGACCGAGGGGCCTTGGGTGGGAGTGAGCATGGACTTGGCTGGTGCCGGAGGGGCCATCCAAGGAAGTGCTCAAGAGCAGCTCTCACTCCCGAAAGGGAAACCGATTGCGGTGCTCCCGGCTCATGTGGAGTGGTGCCCCAC